AAATCATGGCGGAGATGTGAGGATGTCAAAGATGTCTTCTCTCTCTCTCTCTCTCTCTCTCTCTCTCTCTCTCTCTCTCTCTTTTCCGGTACCATGGATTCACCTCAGGACCTCATGGTTGCAAGGCATGTGTGGCACCACTGAGCTAAATCCCTGGCCCTGAAGATGGCTTCTGAGAGGGACGTGAACAGTGATACAAGGTCATTCTGATCCTGGGATGATGGCCAACCACCAAGTCCAGAGTAGAAGACACTGATCATTCGAGCTACCCCAGATTAGTCTGAGTTATATCACTGTCCTTGCACAGCTAGCTTTATCCCCAATCTCTACAGGCCATTTCTTCACTAACAAGATGAAAACTGAACTAGGTTAAACCAGGAGATAGGCAGAAGTACAAATCAGGCAAGATCTGTCCACAGGGACTAGAATTGTCTGTTGCTCAATCCTATACCCCTGTCCTCAGCAAAGTTTCTTTGGCTATTCCGTGTCCTCACTCTTGATTTCCATTTTCCAACACCTCAAAGTAGACATGATACTTAGGGAGAACTTGACAAACTCGTCCTCAGTACATGTGAACACCTCCCCCGGTCCAGCTGCTTTGCTAACAGGGCCTTTTCCTGACTGGTCACCTGAGTTTACCCTTGTCTGTGTATTTCTGGTTCTGCTCTACCTTGCTACTGATATTACAGGAATAGGACAATCCACAGATATTCTAGTGTCCCAATCACTATTAAATAACACACAGCTGGTAGACAGCAGGCATCCATTCATACGCACACAATGCAGTCATGTTTTACTGTGGTATGAAGGGAAAGATCTCCGTCCTGCTCACCTGAGCACCTGGTCCAGGCAGCCTTTGAGGAAATAGGCACAGCCTAGGTAGAGCTCTTGGAGGCAGTTCAGCTCCCGGAGGTAAAGAGAGAACTCATCCACATACTCCAAAATGTTACTTGAGGGACTACAATATCCATTAGTGAATGAAAAGAGAGCAAGTTTTTTAAGACTTCTCATTTGGCCAAGATAAGGAGCAAATGATGCCAAGTTTTTCACACTCCAGAAGTCACACACTTCCACTTCCTGAACACAGTTCAGCTCCAGCATCTTTAAGACATCCATGAAGGTATCAAAGGGCATCTCATAAGTCTCCAACTTCCTACAGCACAGGTGGACCAGATGTCTTCTCTGCTGGGCCCACTCAAAGAGGTAGGCCTGGAATCCATTTAGATTTCCACTTACATTCATGGTGAGAAGCTCTGCTGTCACCTTCAGGAGCTGCTTCTTCCTGTTTACTTGGCAGTCACTGACTGTTTGTTCCCCACACTTGTTATCTGGTACCCAGGCATGAGCCATGGCTCTTGGCCCCAGAGTCCAGAAGTCCTGGTGCACATTCCTCAAATCCAGGATCTGCAGTTTCTGTCTGCTGTGGGTGATAGAACAAAGAGGCTCAGAACTGAGATAAAGATCCAACTTCCTACCTGTGCTTCATTTCTAATTTTTAAGCATCATCCATCCCCCTCCTTTTCTTGCCTTCCTTTTTCTACCCTCTTTTGCATCTTGCATGCAACTTCCAGCTCCTGGGAGAAGAGGCAGGTGTAGACTCCTTTCATCGTCACTGCACCCAGAACATATAGCTTCGCTATCATGAAGCCACTTCCTGGATGGTGCTCAGCAATGGCCAACACCTCTGGGATCCTCCTCTCTCACAGCATCAGACCTCACAGCTCCCCACCTCAGCCACCACCCACTCTCCATGACCCCCACTGTCCTGTCCTAGAATCCCTACACCCTCCCTCCAGGATACCAGGGCCAACCTCACCTGGGGTGAACCTTCTGGGCCAGCAGCATATCCAACCCATGCAGCACAGCTTTCAGAGTCTGTAGATTCCTCTCCTCCAGCTGGAGATTTTCTAGTTCAGACTGTGGATTCCCAGGTTTCCTCATCTCCATCAGGGATCCCAAAGGGAGGCAGGGGAAAGGCCAGGCCTGCACCATCACCTTCAGGACCTCATCATGTCCACACATGAGGGCCTCCATGAACATTTCGTGGAAGATCAGGCTGGGCAGGCCATCCAGAGGAATAATGGCTAAGGTCTCACTCTTCAGCAGGCTGTGCTTAACCAGCTCATACAGAGGCAGTGGGCTCTGCGTACTCATCCTGATAGATCTGCAAGAACAAGGATCCTAGGAACATCCAGGAAGAGGCATCTGCTCAAGCTAAGCTCAAGAGACACCTTATGACCCAGGGCACTAACTCTAGACCACGGTATCTGTCCCGTCTGGTGGAGGACTTCTCAGCTTGCCCCAATATCTCTCACAAAGCCACCACTCTGCCCATGTTAGCAGCAGGACACCACTACCCCATCCACCATCGGTCACTAATCCTCTGCCCTTCAATCCTTGTTAGAAGTGGCTGATGAGGAGTCTGAGAGCTCAGCTGTGCTCATTTTGGGAAAGTTTCTGATCGTCACTGGTCCTGGGTTAGTAGCAAAGGAAATATCACATGGCCCAACCTTCCGACCTTCTCCATTCAAATTATGAGAATGGCCAGGGAAGCCTGGAGAAGTGCTATACACAGGTAGCATTACTTTAACTTTAAAAAGCTGGACAAGCAATTCTGAAAGCTATTACAGGCATGTCATTTTGAGATGGAATATGCTAACTCTGTGAATTAGATTCTCATTCACACCTCTTCCATATTTGATAATTGGCCAGTTTGAGGTGAAGCACAGGGGAAAATACAGATAACGACAGAGACTGTAACTTTAAAATATTGTATAGAGTTCTGGTAGCTCATCCTTCTTATAAACCCAGCACTTTGGTGGAAGAGTTGAATGGATTGCAAGTTCAAGCCCAGCCTGGGCATTTGATTCATTTAGGAAAAGCCTGTCTCAAAAAAAAAAAAATTAATAAAAGTCTGGGGATGTTCCGGAGTAGAAGTTCCAGGTTTTAATCTCTATGAGGAAAACAAAACAAAACAAAACAAAAAAAACTGGGCTTGGTGGCACACTTCTGTAATCCCAGCACTCCGGAGGCTAAGGCAAGAGGATCTGTGAGTTTGAGGCCAGCCTGGGCTACGTAGCTGAAGTCCAATCTAAAGTAGATAGATAGTGATACCCTCTCTTAAAAACACACCAACACAAAACCCCAGAGTTTTAAACCTGATGATCTGGAAAAAGAAAAAAGAAATTATGAAAACTTCGGGGTCATCTGAGACCTCTGTCCTCTCAGGACACCGGCCAAGGGCGGGCAGGAGGGCATCCTCATGGAGGGCAGTGGCTCACCAGGTGCCGAGGCTCTGAGACTCCTGGCAGGACCAGGCGGTGACTGGAAGCTCCCGGACCGAGCACCTCTTCAGCTCCTCTCCTTTCATCCCCCAGTTAGCTACACCTCACCCTCCCAGCTCCTCCCTTCCCCTCACGCGCTCATCTCTGATTTTGCTTCTCCCTCTCCACCCAGTTAATACCTCATCCACATTGGTTCATTTTAGCAAATCTCTAGACGGAGCCAGAGAAGAATTGAGGAGAGTGAGGCTGGGTGTGGTGACACACGCCTGTGATCCCAGCACTTGAGAGGCCGAGGCAGGAGGACAGCCGTGAGTCTGAAGTCAACCTGGGCACATAGTAAACTCAAGTCCAGCCTGCACTAAAAAGTGAGACCGCATCTCAGATCTTCCCCCAAGTAGAAAGTGAAAGTCAAGGATTCACTCATGGATTCACTTCACAAACACAGGTTTAGTATTGTTAAAGTGTGGGCCTGTGGATTTAGCTCAGTGGTACCATGCCTGCCTCACAAGTGCAAGGCCCTGAGTTTGATTCCCAGTACCAGAACAACAACAACTAAAATAAACAAACAACAACAATGTGGCAATCACAGATGCGAGTGTGAAACAGGAAAGGAATTATTCTAGTTTTGACCTTGGGCAGGAATTAAGCCTATAGGGGGATCTTAGCTACACCTAAATATTGGTTCTCTTCCAGGCGAAAACCACTATACAGTATCAGGGTGCTCTGCCTGAGGAGGCTGCAGTCCCAGCTACTTCGGAAGTATCCTGAGACACCATGACTGCTTGAAAACAGGAGCATGGTTTTAGTTGTGAAAAAAAGAAAAGCCTCACTTCAGATACAAAATGAGCAGGGAGTGTGAAAAACTATAACAGTACTCAAGATCCTAATGGGATAATTAACAATGTGAAATAGGAAGAAAAGGGCTAAAGGTGTAGGGAAAGTGGGAAGGGTAGGGGAAGGGGAATAAGGGAAAAGAAAAAAATGTCAGAAAATGAAAAAATGGAAATACAGTGTTTGTAAATGGGGAGGGGAGGAGGGGGTGAAGGGAGGGCAGGGACAGGGGAAAAAATGAGAACCAACACCTGTCATGTAAAGGTGCAAGATCCCAACAATGAATGTAACTGTACCGTGTACCTAGAATGTACCAATAAACTCAATAAAAAGAAAAAAAAATGAGCAGGGAACTGTGGCCCATACCCTCTGAACATTTTGGGAGGCTGAGGCAGGATGATCACAAGTTCAAGTCTAGCCTGGGTAATTTAGTGAGTAAACAAGACTCCCCCCCTCCAAATAACACAGCCAAAGGCTAGGGATGTAGCTCAGTGCAGAAACTCTGTGTGTTCAATCAGCTCTACTAGAAAAGAAAAGCCACATGGAAATCCTAACATCTCCATATATCTATGTATACTGAGGCAGCACGTAAGCTCCTCTCTTGTGTTACAACTCTAGGAGAGAATCAGTTTTTTGTGGTGCTGGGAGTGTCACCAGGGCCTCCCACATGCTGGTCAAGGTCTCTACACTGAGCTGTGCCCTAACTCAAATTATTGGAAAAATATCATTGGTTTCACAAAACTGAGCTATGAAAGCCCTGGTACCTTTACTAAAGAATGTTTTTGTTTCTTTGTTTGCTTTGAGACAAGGTCTCAGTATGTAGCCTGAGCTGGCCTTGAACTCACAGCAATCCTCCTGCCTCAGACTCCCAAATGATAGAATTACAGGCAGGTGCCACCATCTGGCTAAAAAATGCTTTCAAATACAGGAAAATGAACACAAAATTTATGCCATGTCTAAGAGCTGGGAGTGTGAGACTTCACACTTTAATATCTAAGAAAGGCATCTGAGCTTGGTGGTGGTCGTGGTACTAACCAGTCCTAGTGGTCCTATTACTCTTTTCCCCAACTTACCAGAAGAGTAGTTTAGAAGTTGCAAAGGTGCCTTCACCACTTTTTTTTCTGTTTCACTTAAAATATATTTTTTTTGTTTTGCATTTCTAGAGGTGCAAGGCTAACCTCCTCTCCTAGTCCTGTAGGGATATTTATTCTATTTGTATGAAGGTTTACTGAATTTGAGAATTGGAAATAAAACTAATTGAGATCTTTAATTAGTGAGCTATTATTTCACATTTAAAAAATTTATTGCCAGGTGTGGTGGCGCATGTCTGTAATCCCAACACCCAGGAGGCTTATGCAGGAGGATCACTATGAGTTTGAGACCAGCCTGGGCTACATACTGAGTTCCAGGTCAGTCTCAACTACATAGTGAGACCCTATCTCAAAAAAATAAATAAATAAATAAATAAATAAATACAATAAATAAATACACTAGCAGAATGGATTAAGAAGCAAAATCCAACAATATGCTGTATACAAAAAATGCACCTAGTTAAAACAGAAATCAGTAGACTGAAAGTAAAAGGATAGAAAACAGTTTTCCATGTGATAGGAACCAGGAAAAAAATCAAGGGTAGCTATCTTATTTGCAAAGTAAACTTCAAACTAAAACTAATTAAGAGAGACAAAGAAAGCCACTACGTCTTTGTAAAGGGAACAATCCAAGAGAAAGAGATGACAATCATAAATACACATGCACCAAATACTAATGCCCCTAACTATACAAAACAAATAGTAAGGGACATGAAAAAACAAATAAACACTAGTACCATTGTAGTGGGGGACCTAAATACCCCATTGTCACAAATAGACAGGTAAACTAGACACAAAATTAAAAATGAAATACTGGAACTGAAACAAGCTTTTGAACAAATGGACTTAATAGACATCTATAGAGTGTTCCACCCTGCAAAATCAGAATATACATTCTTTTTGGCTGCACATGGGCCATTCTCCAAAATAGACCACATACTTGCTCATAGAACATTTTAAAATAAATACAAAGGAGCTGAAGTAATCCCATGTATATTACCAGACCATACTGTAATCAAACTGGAGATCAATAGAAAAATAAACAACAATAGCTCCAAAAACACATGGAAATTGAATAAGACTCTCCTGAACAACCAATGGGTCACAAAGGAAATTAAAGAAGAAATTAGACAGTTTTTTTACAAAATTAAAAAAAAATGACAGTGCCAATACAACATACAGGAATCTATGGGACACATTGAAAGCAGTCTTATGAGGAAAATTCATAGCAGTGAATGCCCACACTAGGAAAACAGTGCAAGCTCAAATAAACAACCTAATGCTAAAACATAAGCTTCTAGAAAAAGAAGAGCAAGACAAACCCAAAGCTCATATGAGGGATGAAATTATAAAGATCAGAGAATAAATCAATGCAGTGGAGACTTAGAGAATGATACAAAAAAATGATTGAATCAGAGTTGGTTTTTCAAAAGAATAAATAAAATTGATAAACCCTTAGCCAACCTTACTTAAAAAAAAAAGCAAGAAAAGGCTCAAATCCATGCAATCAGGAACGAAAAAAGTGAAGTCACAACAGATCCAGCAGAAATCCAGGGATTATCAATACCTACCTCGAGAACCTGTACTCTAATAAAATGGACAACATAGAAGAAATGGACAGATTTCTAGATACATATGAATTACCAAAGTTGAATGAAAAAGATACAAATATTTTAAGCATCCTCATTACAATCAGTGAAATTGAAAATGTATTTTAAAATTTACCAACAAAGAAAAGCCCAGGTCCTGATGGATTCTCTGTGGAATTTTACAAAATATGTAGGGAAGAACTATTGCTACTACTCTTTAAACTTTTCAGTGAAATTGAAAGGGAAACAATACTTTCAAATTAATTCCTGGAAGCAAGTGTTACTTTGATTTCAAAACCAATCTCCCTGATGAACATAGATGCAAAAATCCTCAATGAAATACTGGTAAACAGAATACAGAGGGTCATCAAGAAGATCATACACCCTGACCAAGTTGGATTTATCCCAGGGATGCAAGCATGGACAACATACTTTAAATCAATGAATGTAATATACTATCTCAACAGTCAAGTACAAAAAGCACATAATCATCTCTATAGATGCAGCAAAAGCATTCAACAAAATTCAACAGCCATTCATGATGAAAACCCTGCAGAAAATTGGAGTACATGGTCTTTGTCTCAACTTGATAAAGGCTATCTATGAAAAAACAACAGCTAACATCATACTGAATGGTCAAAAACTGAAAACCTTCATGCTAAAATCAGGAACAAGACAAGAATATCCATTGTCACCACTCCTGTTCAATATAGTTTTGGAAACAGCCACAGCAATTAGACAAGACAAAGAAAACCAAAAAAGAGAGGAATGGGAGAAGTTAAATAGTCATTATTTGTGGATGATATGGTACTCTACATTGAAGACCAAAAAAACTCTGCCAAAAGACTTTCAGACTTAATTGACAGATTCAGTAGAGTAGCTGGATGCAAAGTAAACACTCAAAAATCAATAGCCCTGTTGTACACAAATAACAGACTAAGTGACAGAGACATTAGGAAAACAATCCCTGTCACAATATCCTCCAAAAAAAATGAAATGTCTAGGAATCAGTCTAACAAAGAAAGCAAAAGCCTCTACACTGAAAACTATAACACTCTGAAAAAAGAGATTGAAGAGGATATAAGAAAATGGAAAGAAACTCCTTGTTACTGGGTAGGAAGAACCAATATAGTGAAAATGGACATACTTCCAAAACTGTCATACAGATTCAATTCAATCCTGATTAAAATCCCAACAGTATATTTCACTGAACTAGAGAAAACAATCCAAAAGTTCATCTGACACCAGAAGAGACCTAGAATAGCAAAAGCAATTCTAGGCAACAAAGACATGCCAGAGGGTATCACAATTCCCAACTTGAAACTGTACTGCAAAGCCACTGTGATAAAAACAGCATGGTACTGGCAAAGAAACAAACCTGAGAATCAGTAAAATAGATCAGAAGATGCAGAAACAACTCCAGACATACTTAGCTACCTCATCTTTGACAAAGGAGCCAACCATCCTCACTGGAAAAGGCCTCTTTAATAAGTGGTGCTGGAAAAACTGGATTTCAACTCGCCAAAGATTAAAACTAGATGCCTGCCTTTCACCATGCACTAAACTAAAATCTAAGTGGATTAAAGATCTAAATATTAAAACAGAAACACTAAATTTACTGGAAGATAAGCTAGGTAGACGTCTTGAAGACACAGGCATAGGAAACGACTTCATGAACAAATCCTCAGTAACACAAAGAATCAACAACTGGGATCTCACTGTATTAAAAAGTTTTTACAGTGCAAGAGAAATTACCAACAGAGCTAAAAGACAATCTACAATGTGGAAAAAAAAATTTTTACCAGCTACTTCCCAGAAAAGGACTACTATTTAGAATATATAAAGTCAAAAAAATCAGACCCCCCCAATACAAAGACCTAATTTAAAAATTAGCAACTGAAATGAATAGACATTTCTCAGACAAAGAAGTAAAAGCAAAAAATAAATATGTGAAAAAATATTCAACACCACTGGTCACTTGAGAGATACAGAGGAAAACAACACTGAGATTCCACCTCACCCCAGAAAGAATGGCTGCTATCAAGAAATCAGCCATCCCGACTGCTTTTATCTTTTGTCTTCATCACTGTCATGATGAATGCTGTGGGGCAGTGGTGAGAAAGGAACCCTTCATTGCTGGTGGGTGTGCAGACTGGGGCAACCACTGTGGAAATCAATATGGAGACACCTCAAACAACTAGGATTAGAAATCCTATTTGACCCAGCTATTCCCCTGCTGGGTATCTTCCCAAAAGAATTAAAAGAATCAGGCCAGGTGTGGTGTCATAAGCCTGTGATCCCAGCACTTGGGAGGCTGAGATGGGAAGATCATGGTGAGTTTGAGACCAGCCTGGGCTACACAGTGTGTTCCAGGGCAGTCTGAACTACACAGTGAGACACTGTCTCAAAAAACCAAAAAAAAAAAAAAATTGAAAGAATCATACCACAGTAATATCTAAAACTTGGAAAACAACCTAATTGCCCATCAACTGGAGACTGGATAAAGATGTATTTTTTTTCTTTTGTTTTTTTCTTTAATACAGTGAAGTACTACTCTGCCATAAAGATCAAGAAACTAGAGACGTTTATAGCTAAGTGGATAAACACTGAGGACTAACTCTTAAATAAAATTAATAGAACATACATGTGTAAATACCATAGTTTTCTTGTGTGATAAACTGAAAGTGTAAAGAAGGATCAAAACATATAATTGATATGTTGTAACAGGAAGAAAAGGTCTAAAGATGTTGGGCATATGGCAGGGGTAGGGGAAAGGTAAAACAGGAAAAGAAAAAAATAAGAGAAAAGGAAAAAAGTGGAAACAAAGTCTGTAAATACAGAAGAGAGGCTAAGGGAGAGGGGAAAAAATAAAAACCAAGGTATGCATGTAAGGTATAAGATCCCAACGATGAATGTAACTGTATGGTATATCTAAAATGTGCAGATGAAAATATTGAGAAAAGATTGTCATAGGGAAACTGATGACATATATGACTAGTACATAGCTCAGTAACAGAACTCTCAGGTGTTCTCCAAGTGAGTAGACCTCCATGTGTTCCAGGCTGCTCTCTTCATCACTGGCAGTGTTTGGAATGGACCAGCTGTCCCTTCAGTGCATGGATGGGTAAACTCAGTTTGGCTGCCCTGACCATGGGGTATAATCACACCATCAGAATACATGGGCATCACAGGTGCAGTCCAGGAGAGGAAAGCCAACCTGGACTTGAGCATTCTGGAAATGGCCAGAATAAGCAGGAATGAACAGATGGCCCCAGAAAGGCAAACATGATGGGATGAGAGCTGAGAATGTTGTGCAATGATCAAACACCACCCTACCTTGGTCGAGGCCCAAGTTCCACTGCAAGAGGAGAAAAGAGGGAAGGTAGTATGTGAAGGGCAGGTCATTTTCAAACTTCCAGATGCTGCAACCTATCCCCATCCACAAGTAACAATCCAAGGCCTTGTTTTTTTTTGTTTTTTTTTCTGCCACCAGTGGAAATCACTGAGGTCAAAGTGAGAACCAAGCTTGGTGTGGCTAGCCTGGGTGTAATCCCAGCCCTCTTGGAAACTGAGATAAGATCGCAGGTTTGACCTGAGCTGCACCACTTCATTGCATAGTGAGACCCTGTCACCAAACGTTCAAGTGGACAAGGACCCAGAGATGGAAGGAGAGGGAAGAGCAGATAAAAGCAGTCGGGATGTGTCGTGCACGTGCACCAACGCCCCGGGGTGAATGTGATGGTAAGTACAGCAAACGTGCAAAATAAAACTTGAAAAAGCGAGGGGAAAAAAAGAAAGAGGGCTGGGGCCGGGGATTTAGCGCAGCGGATCGGTGG